TGAAAACAAGATTTAAAGCAAGAGGAATATCAATTTAAACAAATGGTACTCTATGGATTAATTCTACGGATTATGCTACTTCTACACTCACATGCACGGATTGTAAATCGAATTCTCTAAATTGTAAAACATATATTCTCAAGCTATGAATTCCTACTTTTCCCTATTAAGCTTCCGCACCCAACAATTTGAAGATTAATAGTTCCAAGTTCATGAAGCTAATGGAATCCTAGATTGATTTCATTGATTCTCAAACCTATCTCTAGCATACAATACTACAATGGTGATTACCCAAGAAGCTCAACATGATTCATTTCTCAATTTCATCATGTTCAGCAAATAAAATCAATAAAAACCAGAATAACCATACAATCTATGCAATAGAATGTAAAAGCAACAATAATCAATCGATTAATCCATATACATCCGAATTACATCAAAACCCTAACCCAAAATTGGTTAGTTCATAACTAAATTAACACAAATAGCAAGAAAAATAGTAAAGACAGCAGTCAACATATTGAAACAAAGAGAAAAGAATAGATATCTCTGCTAGTTGAAGAATCCACAAGATTAAATCTCAAATCTTCTCCCTTTCTCTCAAAAAATGTCAAAGCTACTATGAAAAAAATGAAAATTAGGTGACTCAGACGAACCCCTCTCAAAATGGCAAATTTTCTCTTATATAGTTCGCCCAAAAACCTAAGACTTTCCTAAAATAAAACTGTGTGTTTTGGAGAAAACAAAATTTCGCAGACTTCGCCGCGGCGAAGAAAGAATTTCGCCGCGATGACGAGCTAAAGTGGAATCTCGTGCTTAGCTTCTTTCATCGCGGCAAACCTTGCTAAAAAATTTTGAATTTACAGAATTGCCCTCCGCTTTCTTCCTTGCTTGAATCTTCGATCTTCAATGCTTTCCCATGGGAACAAGCTTCATAGTGCTTCACTCCACTTCAGAACTTTTCCAAATTCTGAGATTCGCTTACTTCTAGGTCCAGAAACTCCAATTCACTCATTATTAGCTCAAAATGCTCATTTTGGCCTGAAATATAAAATATATAGAATTAAGTAGCAACTCAGGCACAAACGAACAAAGAAGTATCCAAAATCCGGCCAAAAAGCCTAAATAAAATAGTATAATCCTCGGATTATCAATTACCTAACTCTTTGCAATGTAAATGACTCTATTTGAAAAATGTCTTGTGTGAACATACTTAGCATTTCAAAATTTACCAAAGATAACAATGTTGTGGTTAAGTTTCATTCTAATTGTTGTGTTGTTAAGGACAAGGTTACCAAAACAGTCCTTCTATAGGGAGAGCTTAAAGCAAGGCTATATTAGTTGAATCTTGCCTCTACTTGTCCTGCATAGTCCAATGAACAGTCTGTCTCAGTTGATGTTCAAACTTTTATGTCTACTTTACAATCTCAGCATAGTGAAACCTATTCTAGTTCATCTTCTTGTAATAACTCTTTGTTAGAAGACTCTATTAACCTTAAGAATCTCAACATTAGTTGTAAATCTCCTTTGAATATGTGTAATAATTCTTCTATTCATAATTAAATTTCGGGTAATTCCTATATTGATTCTTCTGCAAAGTTGTCCTATGTGAATAATGCACTTTGTGATTCTAAAATAAAGGATGATACATCTTCAACATCTATTCCTGATTCAATACATACATCTGCACTTGCATGAAACATTCAAACTAACAAGAGCTTAGAAAAGACTTGGCATAAGAGACTTCGCCATCCTTATACTGAAATCTTTAGTCAAATTAATAGTGATCCATTAATGAAATAAAAAATTCCTCACTTCATATCATTTTGTGATGCATGTCAATTTGGAAAGTTCCACAAAAATAGCTTTCCCTCCTCCTCTTCTAGAGCTACTAAACCTTTAGTTTTAATTCATAATGATCTTTGGGGCCCTACTCCTATGGTCTCATTTGAAGGATATGGATACTATATTCAGTTTGTAGTTGATTTCAGTAGGTTCACTTGGCTTTTTCCTTTAAAAACAAAGGCTAAAACTCATTTAGTTTTCATTAAATTTCATCATTTAGTAGAAAGACAATTTGGCTACAAACTAAAATGCTCGTAATCAGATCAAGGTGGTGAGTATAAATGCCTAATTCCATACCTTGAACAAAATGGCATTATGTTTTGACATTCATGTGCATACGTTCATTCACAAAATGGAAGAAGTGAAAGAAAACATAGGACATAGGTATGTTGTTGAAACAGTTTTAACACTTCTTGCTCATGCATCCATGCCATTGCATTTTTGGTGGTGTTTCTTTGAAACTGTAGTCCTTGATTAGCAGAATGCCTTCATCTATTTTGCAATTTGTGTCTCCATATCAGACCTTATTTCATAGATTACCTCTTAGTGCTTCTCTCAAGGCCTTTGGCTGTGCATGTTTTCCTCACATTAGAGACTACAATCAACATAAGTTTAATTTCCACACTTTGGAATGTGTCTTCATAGGCTATAGTCTTGTTCATAAGGTTTTAAGTGCCTAAGTTCAACTGGAAAGTTGTTTATCACTCCTAATGTTAGGTTTCATGAAGAAAAGTTTCCTTTTTTCTGCAAATTATAACTTCTCTAGTCATAGTTCATAGTCCAATTTTTCATCACAACCTACATCCACTTAGAATAATCCTTTCTCTCAGTTTCCTTTTGTCCATGTTGTCCATGACCTATCTTCGAGTGATATAGCTCCTACCAAAGCTACTCCTGTAGAAAACTATTCCTAACCAAGTTCCACTCCAATAGTTGGGAAGATAACTCCAATCTTACCCTCTGGTTCTCCAAATTCAACTGTTGCTCTTATTTTTCAAAATTCCAGTTTTGAAAGTGCTCCACATTCAGTTTCCTCACCTTCATTTAACCTTTCCATTCCATCTAAATCTTTACCTAACTATTCCCTTGTAGTAGACTTATCAATTTTCAAATACATCATTCCTAAATACCACTCACAAACTTCCCACATGTTCACTTGTAGTTGATTTAGACTCTTCATAATTTCTTATTCTATCGGCTGATTCTCAAGGTGCTAAGAACCAGCACCCTATGGTCACTAAAGCAAAGGCAACAGATAACATGAAAACTGCTCTTCTAACTTCTGGTCATATATAAATTCATACTAAACCTTCCACAGTGAAAGAAGCATTAGCTAATGAAACTTGGCAAGAAGCCATGCAAAGTCAGTTTGATGCCCTTGTTAGGAACAATACTTGGACATTAGTACCTAAGGGTTCGGATATAAACATTGTTAGGAATAAACAGGTGTTTAGAGCCAAATTTCATGCTGATGGATCCTTACAAAAATGCAAGGCTAGGTTGGTTGTCAAAGGATTTCAACAAACACCTGGCCTGGATTTCTTTGAAGCTTTCAGCCTAGTTATTAAACCCTCAACCATCAGAATTGTTCTTACCCTAGCTATCACACATAATTGGGACATCCAACAAATCGATGTCAATAATGCCTTCCTTAATGGCACTCTGAATGAGACTATGTTTATGAAGCAACCAAAAGGATTTGAGTGTCCTCGGTTTCCATCTCATGCATGCAAGCTTAACAAGGCTCTTTATGGTCTCAAACAAGCTCAAAGAGCTTGGTTTGACAAGTTGAAAGAGGCACTCTTGACAAAAGGATTTCAAAATTCCATATCTAATTCCAGCCTCTTCATACTCAAAAATGAAGCTCAAGTCACCTATGTTCTCATCTATGTAGATGATATATATACTCATCACTAGATCCAAATATCCGTTCATCCTTCAACTTCTATAGGACCTGAGTTATCATTTCTCACTAAAGGCTTTTGGGTCAATCAAATATTTTCTAGAGTTAGAAGCCACTAGAACATCACAAGGAATTCATCTTAGGCAAACAAAGTATGTGATTGATTTACTTTCCAAGACAAGAATGCTTGAATCATATGCTTGTCCAACCCCCATGGCTGTTGGAACAAAACTCTTTTCCACTGACAATCCCTTGTTTGAAGACCCTAGTCTTCATAGAAGTACAGTGGGAGCATTGCAATATTTAACATTGACCAGACCTGATATAAGTTTTTGTTCTTGGCCATTTTGATTTCTCTTTTAAAGCAATTAAAGAAATGAAGGGATCATGAGTAAGGAGCTGAAGCTTCAATTGCTTGGAAGTCTATTTATACAAAGTAGAAGTAGCTGAGACATACTAAAATAGATAAAGATTCAAGTCCTAATCAGGTAGAAAAGATTCAGATGCCGACTAAGCTTGTAGCGTGTTGAAATAGTCTCCAAACTTAATTAAACTTAATGAGAGCGGTTTATGGATAAGAATCTTTTTGTGTATAATACATAACAGGCCTCAAAGTGCTATTAATTTGTCGTAATTACAAAATTCCAATTTTTAGTTTTGGAAATAGGTTTTTCCCTTTAATCATGTATTATTGATCCCATTTCAGTTTTGATTCGGTCAGATGATCATATTTTATGTATAAGCTACTAATCATTGTCCAGTAGTAACATTTAGCGGCCTTGCTGCTAGTCACAAAATCAGAAATAGAAAGAAATCTTTTCATTTTACTTCAAACGATTTCAGTTGTTATAGAGGAAGATATAAGATTTATTTGGTTTGTTCCATATTTCCATTGATCGAACTCCTAAAAGTAATTAATGTTTCACATTTTGTAATTAATTACCTCTTGTCAGACAGATAAACTCTCCCAAGTACGTAGAATCGATGCTAAATTATATAGATGCCACATAAATACAAATAAGAAGACTAACTGCTTGAAAATTGAACATTTGGATTGAAGGTATGTGTCTTCTATATGCAGTCCGGTTGGACTAAAGACTTCTTCAACATTTAAGGAATATGCAAACGGTTGCTTTCTTTATCATTGACGTATTCTCTCTTCAGATAATATATGCATTAAAATTTGTAACCACTTCTACTTCGTCTATATATAGAGAATTCATGATGTTCCAGCTTCACCACTCCAACTCCATTAATTAATAGTAATTTTCTTTTACTATCTTCCATTTCTTGAAAGGTCAGGAAAAACTGAAATGGCTAAGATCGTTCTCTTACTCGGTCTGCTAGCTATCACTTGCACTCTGGCCATCGCATATGAACCTAGTCCTTTGCAAGATTTCTGCGTTGCTGACACTACTAGCTCAAGTGAGGACTTCGATCTCTAGATTATTAATATATGTTTCAATTTTAATTATATAGTTTTGGCTTGTGTTATATACGAATGGGCTACTCAGTCATACATGGTCTTTGGTTTTTATGACAGTTGTGCTTCCAGTCTTATATAAATACTCTTTTACACCTAGAAACAATTATTGTCGTATAAGGAATCATAAAACTATTTTTTACGATAGGATTTTAATACCATTGTATAAAAAGGTCCCATAAAATACTTTTGTATGTAGTGATTGATTTTGTTTATATTCACTTGCTTGATATATTAATAAATTTTGTGTGATGGCAGCAAGAGTTAACGGCCTAGCCTGCTTGGACTCAAAACTTGTACAAGCCAATCATTTTTCCTTCAGTGGACTCCATGTAACGGGCAACACATCGAACCCAACTGGGTCTATTGTGACCCCTGTGCTTGTGGGTCAAATTCCTGGACTTAACACCCTTGGTATTTCAATGGCTCGTATTGACTACGCACCATGGGGCCTCAGTGCTCCTCACTTTCACCCTCGAGCCACCGAGATTCTAACTGTCTTGGAAGGCACTCTCTTTGTTGGTTTTGTGACTTCAAATCCTGATAACAGACTCATCACAAAGGTGCTTGAAAAGGGTGATGTGTTTGTGTTCCCAGTAGGACTTCCTCACTTCCAAAGAAATGTGGGGAATGGAAGTGCAGTTTCAATCTCTTCCTTGAGTAGCCAAAACCCTGGTGTAATCACCGTCGCCAAGGCCGTTTTCGGATCAAATCCCTCCATTGCTGATGATATTCTGGCTAAGGCTTTCCAGATTGACAAGAGTGTGATTGATCAGCTTCAAGCAAACCTTTAGTGGACTGAAAATAACGAACTCCAGAAGAATTACCTTTTCTGTATTGATGCATGTGTTATTTTGTGTGTGTGATACTATATATTAATTTGTATTAATTGAATTTGCTTTTGTTTTGAGTTCATTTACATATTATTATTTTGTTTGGGAATTCTTGTGTAACTTACCAGCAATGCTTTAATTGATCAAGATTAATATATTAAGGCTTTACAAATCTATGATTTATCAGCTTCAGCAGAGTACTTTTGGGCTTGAAAATAAAAATCCATGAATTAATAAGACCTTAAGGTCTGATATTTCCAGAAGTCTTGCTAGAAAATTCCATTAAATTTGGGTACTTTGAGAAAAACTTCTATCGGACAGTCTCACCACTTTATGATGACATAGTGATATCATCAAATAAAATATTGTCATGTGTATCGATTGGAAGACAAGTTAAAACCCTAACTTTTTTTTAAAGTTAGATTATTTATTTCTTTCTTCCAACCTCTAAACAAATTATTCTCTTACAAGTTCTTCTACTTACTCTCAAGTCACCATTCTCGATTACCTATTGTTAGGGCCAAAAATCGTCCTTGGCCCAAATAGGAGAACAGGACTGAATGAGGAAGAGACCAGGCCCAATCCCAATGCGGCCCCATCCGAATTAGGCCCATTTGATACAAGATACAGTCGGCCCAAACCATCGGGTCCGAGCCTCCAAATCCCAGTTCACTTCTTGGACCTATGAGCAAGTTCAGAGCCCACGGCACCCACAGATCACTTTCCTATTCCAGATCGGTCTCCTATTCGAGGTCACCTTCCTATTCAGGTTACTTTCCTACTCGAGGTTACTTTCCTGTTCGGGATCACCTTCCTATTCGAACACTGGTAAGACAGCTCACCACCGCCCTAATTCCTTTAGGGTTTGAATCAAAGTCACACTAAGACTCCTACTCCCACCAGGACTGGGAGACCAGACAGTCACTATATAAGCAGAGGCCAGCTCTTTCACAAGGGAGATTAGATTACATTACACTTTCACACCCGAAGCTCCTACTTGAGAGCTTCACATCACTGTCGTAGTCATAGTCCCCGACTAGACTTCCGGTTACGTCTCTACTCCTAGCCCTCACTATACTAGCCTCTTTCAGTCTTGCTAACTTGAGCGTTGGAGTGCCTACAGCAAACACCACCTTGATGTTTTCTGTTCGCTTCACACTTGTTTCTCTACGTGTGCAGGTGCAGCGGATCGCTAGTGGCCTCAACCTCACGGGATCAGACCCCCCTTTCGTACAGGTAGATTTTTACGTCTACAGTTTGGCGCCCACTGTGGGGCCTTTAGTAATCATTCAGCTCGACGAACCTTGCTACGTAGAGATATTTTCCATGGTTGACCCTTCGGACAACTCTAACTCCGGCCTCGAGGCTAGACTAGAGGCTCTGATCACTCTCATGCAACAAACTTTAGACAAGATGGCTGTACTGGAAGCCGAGAATAATGCACTCCAGAGCGAAAACGCATCCATCAAGGCTGAAAACCAGTCTCTTAAAGAGAAGGCGAGTCAGTTCTATGATCTGGAGCTTCTGCCTTGCCAGGTACCTCCTAATCGATTCCGCGCCTCAGTTCCATCCGTGCATCCTCTCCAAAACCCAGAGCACAGACCCTCAGCCTTCGGTAAAAGGCCACGTCTATTAAGTTCATCGGTGGTTGACAACTCGATCCTGACTCATGGTGGAAAGGATCTGCCAACAAAACCACATTCATCCGATCCACCCAAGTCTCGAGATCAAGACGCCCAAGAGACAGAGAGCCCACACCTGCAAGACCAACCCATTCTTACCATCCAACCTCACATCCAGTCAACCATCCCCGCATAAACACCATTCGGCTCGGCTTACCCTCACAGGTTGAACGGCTAACCCAACCAAACTATAACACTCGAGCCCACCCATCCTGACGGACCGAACAAATATGAAACAACCCCCCTGACCATTCATGTTGGGTGAAACACCAGATCAGTTACCATGGGAGTCATCCGAACGGAAGGAATAAACAGAGATCCAGGCTACCAGGGTGTGCACGAAGGAATGATCCACCAGACTACACCACAAAGGATGACCCAACGGAATATGCCAAGGACCAATGCAATGGTTGACCCGGTCAAACACAATGACTTAGTGGTATCCCCCTCTCCTATGGAATAGGTACTGGCCAAGAGGCTGGCTGATGTAGAGGCAGTGATGAGGCGTATCTTAGGAATGCCGGTCCTAACCAAGAAGAGCAGGCCTCACTGTTATGCGGATTCACCCTTTGTGGACGAGATTGCCCTAGCTGACATGCCCCAGAAGTTTACTATTCCCAGCATGAAACCCTACGACGGCACAACCGACCCAGATGATCACATAGCCTCGTACAAGCTGCGGATGTTCACTGTCTCAATACCTTGAGCACTGAGGGAAGCCTGCATGTGCAAGAGTTTTGGTTCAAGCTTATCCAGTCCAGCACTCCAGTGGTACACAAATCTCCCGAATGATTCCATCGACTCATTCGCTCAGCTCACCGACAACTTTGTGGAGCAGTTCGCTAGCAGCAAGAAACTCGAGAAGCTGTCGGTCAATCTATACAGAGTACATCAGAGGAGGGAAGAGCTACTGAGAGAGTATGTCAGCAGATTCAACAAAGAGGAGATTTCCATCATTTCCTGTAACCTTGAGACAACCGTAGACGCCTTCAAAAATGGTCTCCTCCTTGATGGTGAACTATACAAAGAACTAACGAAGCTAGGTTGCACCACGATGAAAGACGTCTTGGCCAGAGCAACGATTCAAATAAGGTGGGAGGAAGATGAGATGAATCAGGCAATTCACGCTAGGTATGATTGAATGCAGAATGACAGGAGGCCAGAGCTTAGATCGATTGTAGGCCCTACAAGGTCACCAAAGAAGTAGGGAAGGGTGCCTATTCCAAAGGCAAAGACATCAGCAACAGTTGGAACGCAATCCATCCTACATGCTACTACTTTTAAGTGAAATCAATATAAATATTTGTTGTCTTTTCATTTTTTATTTAAAAATGATGTGTGGGCTCATCCACTGCCTTCATAGACAGTTGGTATCACGACCTGAATTTAATGAAGCATTATTCAGCAATTGACACCTTCAAATCAGCCTTGCCAGATTCATGAGCTTTCACACTTCGGATCGGCTCTGCTCGATCCACGGATTTGCATCTTCGAATCGACCCTACTCGATCCACGTAATTACACCTTCGAATCGGCCCTGGTCGATCCATGGATTTGCATCTTCAGATCGACCCTACTCGATCCACGTAATACACCTTCGGATCGACCCTGCTCGATCCACGAATTTACATCTTCAGATCGACCCTGCTCGATCAAATGTTTATTACATCTTCGGATCGACCTTGCTCGATCCATGGATTTGCATCTTCAAATCGACCCTAATCGATCCACGTAATTGCACCTTCGGATCGACTCTACTCGATCCATGGATTTGCATCTTCAGATCGACCCTGCTCGATCAAATGTTTGTTACACCTTCGGATCGACCTTGCTTGATCCACGGATTTATACCTCCAGATCGACCTTGCTCGATCCAACGGATTTACACCTTCAGATCGGCCCTGGTCGATCCACGGATTTGCATCTTCATATCGACCCTACTCGATCCACATAATCACACCTTCGGATCAACCCTGCTCGATCCACTAATTTACATCTTCAGATCGACCGTGCTCGATCAAATGTTTATTACACATTCGGATCGACCTTGCTCGATCCACAGATTTGCATCTTCGGATCGACCCTGCTCGATCCACGTAATTACACCTTCGGATCGGCCTTGGTTGATCCACGGATTTACATCTTCAGATCGACCTTGCTCGATCAAATGTTTGTTACACCTTCGGATCGACCCTGCTCGATTCACAGATTTACACCTTTAGATCGACCCTGCTCAATCCTATGGATTTACACCTTTAGATCAACCTTGCTCGATCCACGGATTTGCATCTCAGATCGACCCTACTCGATTTACGGATTTTTTACACCTTCGGGTCGACTCTGCTCGACCCACAAATTTACACATTCGGATCGACCTTGCCCGATCCACGAATTTACATCTTCGAATCGACCCTGCTCGATCCACAGTTTCATCTCCAGATCGGCTTGCCCGATTCGTGGATCCACACCTTTGATCGGCCCTGCCCGGTTCATGAAGCTACACATTCAGTCGGCCAGACCGAGTGAAGGATTCCTACACCTCAAAATCGACAAGTCATCCACCCAACCTAACAGAGAGTTCACATGGCTCAGCCACTGGGTTGCACCAAAATCAGAACACAAGCATACGACTCAACTCCACCATCCTCACTCCCCAGGAACCAAGTATTGGACCTCCACTCTACCCGACCGACCGACCGACCGACTCAACTCTACCATCCTCACTCCCCAAGAACCAAGTATTGGATGTCCACTCTACCCGACCGACCGACCGACACAATTCCATCATCCTCACTCCCCAGGAACCAAGTATTGGACCTCCACTCTACCTGACCGACCAACCGACTCAACTCCACCATCCTCACTCCCCAAGAACAAAGTATTGGATCTCCATTCAACCCGACCGACTTAACTCCACCATCCTCACTCCCCACGAACCAAGTATTGGATGTCCACTCTACCCGACCAACCGACCGACTCAACTCCACCAGCCTCACTCCCCAAGAATCAAGTATTGGATCTCTACTCCACCCGACCGACCGACCGACTGAACTCCACCATCCTCACTCCCAGGAACCAAGTATTGGATTTCCACTCTACCCGACCGACCGACTCAACTCCACCATCCTCACTCCCAAGAACCAAGTATTAGATCTCCACTCTACCTAGCCGACCGACCGACTGAACTCCACCATCCTCACTCCCTAGGAACCAAGTATTGGATTACCACTCTCCCTATGCCACCGATCGACCGACCGACCCGGTCTTTTCAAACTTTGACTATCACCACTCATCCCACCCTATGCCACCGATCAACACACAGACTTAACCTATCTAAAGATTCAATCGCTCTTCCTACCCGACCGAGCCAGCATATTGTAACAGGTTGGCTCCCGCAACGAAGCTGACACTCCCATGCTTCACGTCTAGGAGATTCTCCCAGTCGGGGCGATTGGCTAGGAGCAATCTAGCACTTGTTCACCCTCGAGGCGATCAAGCTAAGGGGCCTCGCCCATTCGGTCTTCCATAGCGGACGAGTGGGCAGCCATGGGTCAAATGTTTATGCATTTTGCTTTGCCCTTTGGCATCCAGTAAAGAGCGTCATGGAATCACAAGCGCAAGTCTTACGATCCAACAAGCCAGTCGAGCCGATTCCATCCCACTCGATCACCCGAGTACCCCAACCGAACAAACCTTTAATTTAACATCGTCTCCAACTCATTCAACCTGGCAGGCCAAGTGGATACCCTTGTCATGGGATTTTAGTTCACTTCTCCAGTCGGTAGGACACACCGAACGAGCACGTGAGCCCTAGAAGCCTCATTATCTCAATGCTTCGACCCTTCAGATCGATCGAGCACACCCTCTTAGGGTGATTACACATTCTGGATCAGCTTTGATACCGAGCAACCCTTGACTACGAATCACCTACATCAAATTGGTCAGCTACGCCGACAATCGACCGTCCAAGAAGGGAGACCGAGAGCGCCTCGATTGCTTCCTACTCTCTGACTTAAGAAAAACTTAACTCAGAAAGTGTGGGGCAAAATGTTAAGGCCAAAAATCGTCCTTGGCCCAAATAGGAGAACATGACTGAATGAGGAAGAGACCAGGCCCAATCCCGATACGGCCCCATCCGAAATAGGCCTATTTGATACAAGATACAGTCGGCCCAAACCATCGGGTCCAAGCCTCCAAATCCTAGTTTACTTCTTGGACCTATGAGCAAGTCTAGAGCCCACGGCACCCACAGATCACTTTCCTATTCTGAAAGATTCAGCATGCATGAAGAGTGGTGGAGATGGAGAATGAAAGCATGAAAGCATGGATTCTAAAAACCGGTTTTCAAACAAAGCTTGGAAAAGGGATTATACCTACTCCTTTGCTTTGGATTGATGAAGATCAGCCTCAAAGTAATGAGACCTCCACACTTTAACACCACCTTGAGAGGTTTAGAGAGTGGTCGTGGCTTTTAGAGAGAGTTTTGGTTTTGCTTTGAGTGAACAATGTGTGTTATGAACAAAAATGCAACCTTTTGCATTTATATATACTTGGGCAATTTTGCAATTATTTATTTTTCACTTCAAAGCCCAATAAAATCTTATTTTATAAAGGGACCCCATGTTTAGGGCCAAAAATCGTCCTTGGCCCAAATAGGAGAACAGGACTGAATGAGGAAGAGACCAGGCCCAATCCCATGCGGCCCCATCCGAATTAGGCCATTTGATACAAGATACATCGGCCCAAACCATCGGGTCCGAGCCTCCAAATCCCAGTTCACTTCTTGGACCTATGAGCAAGTTCAGAGCCCACGGCACCACAATCACTTTCTCTTCCATCGGATCGTCTCCTATTCGAGGTCACCTTCCTATTCGGTTACTTTCCTACTCGAGTACTTTCCTGTTCGGGATCACCTTCCTATTCGAACACTGGTAAGACAGCTCACCACCGCCCTAATTCCTTTAGGTTGAATCAAAGTCACACTAAGACTCCTACTCCCACCGGACTGGGAGACCAACATCACATATAAGCAGAGGCCAGCTCTTCACAAGGAGATTAGATTACATTACACTTTCACACCAAGCTCCTACTTAGGAGCTTCACATCACTGTCGTATCATAGTCCCCGACTAGACTTCCGTTACGCTCTACTCCTAGCCCTCACTATACTAGCCTCTTTCATCTTGCTAACTTGGCGTTGGAGCCTCACAAACACCACCTTGATGTTTTCTGTTCGCTTCACACTTTTCTCTACGTTGCAGGCGTCAGCGGATCGCTAGTGGCCTCAACCTCACGGGATCAGACCCCCCTTTCGTACAGGTAGATTTTTACTCTACAGTTTGGCGCCCACTGTGGGGCCTTTAGTAATCATTCACTCGACGAACCTTGCTACGTAGAGATATTTTCCATGGTTGACCCTCGGACAACTCTAACTCGGCCTCGGCTAGACTAGGCTCTGATCACTCTCATGCACAAACTTTAGACAAGATGCTGTACTGGCCCGAGAAATATGCACTCCAGAGCGAAACGCATCCATCAAGGCTGAAACCAGTCTCTTAAAGAGAAGCGGAGTCTTTCTATATCTGGAGCTTCTGCCTTGCCAGTGCCTCTAATCGTCCGCGCCTCAGTTCCATCCGTGCTCCTCTCCAAAACCCAGAGCACAGACCCTCAGCCTTCGGTAAAACCACGTCTATTAAGTTCATCGGTGGTTGACAACTCGATCCTGACTCATGGTGAAAGGATCTGCCAACAAAACCACATTCATCCGATCCACCCAAGTCTCGAGTCAAGACGCCCAAGAGACAGAGAGCCCACACCTGCAAGACCAACCCATTCTTACCATCCAACCTCACATCCAGTCAACCATCCCGCATAAACACATTCGGCGCTTACCCTCACAGGTTGAACGGCTAACCCAACCAAACTATAACACTCGAGCCCACCCATCCTGACGGACCGAACAAATATGAACAACCCCCCTACCATTCATGTTGGTGAAACACCAGATCAGTTACCATGGGAGTCATCCGAACGGAAGGAATAACAGAGATCCAGGCTACCAGGGTGTGCACGAAGGAATGATCCACCAGACTACACCACAAAGGATGACCCAACGGATATGCAAGGACCAATGCAATGGTTGACCCGGTCAAACACAACTTAGTGGTATCCCCCTCTCCTATGGAATAGGTATGCCAAGAGGCTGGCTGATTTAGAGCATGATGAGCGTATCTAATATATGCCGGTCCTAACCAAGAAGAGCAGGCCTCACTGTTTGCGGATTCACCCTTTGTGGACGAGATTGCCCTAGCTGACATGCCCCAGAAGTTTACTATTCCCAGCATGAAACCCTACGACGGCACAACCGCCCAGATGATCACATAGCCTCGTACAAGCTGCGGATGTTCACTGTCTCAATACCTTGAGCACTGAGGGAAGCCTGCATGTGCAAAGTTTTGGTTCAAGCTATCCAGTCCAGCACTCCAGTGGTACACAAATCTCCCGAATGATTCCATCGACTCATTCGCTCAGCTACCGACAACTTTGTGAGCAGTTCGCTAGCAGCAGAAACTCGAGAAGCTGTCGGCATCATATAACAAGTACATCAGAGGAGGGAAGAGCTACTGAAGAGTATGTCCATATCAACAAAGAGGAGATTTCCATCATTTCCTGTAACTTGAGACACACGTAACGCCTTCAAAAATGGTCTCCTCCTTGATGTGAACTATACAAAGAACTAACGAAGCTAGGTTGCACCACGATGAAAGACGTCTTGCCAAGCAACGATTCAAAATGTGGGAGGAAATGAGATGAATCAGGCAATTCACGCTAGGTATGATTGAATGAAGAATGACGAGGCCAGAGCTTAGATCGATTGTAGGCCCTACAAGGTCACCAAAGAAGTAGGGAAGGTGCCTATTCCAAGGCAAAGACACAGCAACAGTTGGAACGCAATCCATCCTACATGCTACTACTTTAAGTGAATCATATAAATATTTGTTTGTTTTCATTTTTTATTTAAAAATGATGTGTGGGCTCATCCACTGCCTTCATAACAGTTGGTATCACGACCTGAATTTAATGAGCATTATTCAGCAATTGACACCTTCAAATCAGCCTTGCCAGATTCATGAGCTTTCACACTTCGGATCGGCTCTGCTCGATCCACGGATTGCATCTTCGAATCGACCACTCGATCCCCGTAATTACCCTTCGAATCGGCCCTGGTCGATCCATGGATTTGCATCTTCAATCGACCCTACTCGATCCACGTAATACACCTTCGGATCGACCCTGCTCGATCCACGAATTTACATCTTCAGATCGACCCTGCTCGATCAAATGTTTATTACATCTTCGGATCGACCTTGCTCGATCCATGGATTTGCTCTTCAAATCGACCCAATCGATCCACGTAATTGCACCTTCGGATCGACCTCTACTCGATCCATGGATTTGCATCTTCAGATCGACCCTGCTCGATCAAATGTTTGTTACACCTTCGATCGACCTTGCTTGATCCACGGATTTATACCTCCAGATCGACCTTGCTCGATCCAACGGATTTACACCTTCAATCGCCCTGGTCGATCCACGGATTTCATCTTCATATCGACCCTACTCGATCCACATAATCACACCTTCGGATCAACCCTGCTCGATCCACTAATTTCATCTCAGATCGACCGTGCTCGATCAAATGTTTATTACACATTCGGATCGACTTGCTCGATCCACAGATTTGCATCTTCGGATCGACCCTCGATCCACGTAATTACACCTTCGATCGGCCTTTGTGGATCCATCACTGATTTATTAACGGCCTAGCCTGCTTGGACTCAAAACTTGTACAAGCCAATCATTTTTCCTTCAGTGGACTCCATGTAACGGGCAACACATCGAACCCAACTGGGTCTATTGTGACCCCTGTGCTTGTGGGTCAAATTCCTGGACTGAACACCCTTGGTATTTCAATGGCTCGTATTGACTACGCACCATGGGGCCTCAGTGCTCCTCACTTTCACCCTCGAGCCACCGAGATTCTAACTGTCTTGGAAGGCACTCTCTTTGTTGGTTTTGTGACTTCAAATCCTGATAACAGACTCATCACAAAGGTGCTTGAAAAGGGTGATGTGTTTGTGTTCCCAGTAGGACTTCCTCACTTCCAAAGAAATGTGGGGAATGGAAGTGCAGTTTCAATCTCTTCCTTGAGTAGCCAAAACCCTGGTGTAATCACCGTCGCCAAGGCCGTTTTCGGATCAAATCCCTCCATTGGTAATGATATTCTGGCTAAGGCTTTCCAGATTGACAAGAGTGTGATTGATCAGCTTCAAGCAAACTTTTAGTGGACTGAAAATAACGAACCCCAGAAGAATTACCTTTTCTGTATTGATGCATGTGTTATTTTGTGTGTGTGATACTATATATTAATTTGTATTAATTGATTTTGCTTTTGTTTTGAGTTAATTTACATATTATTAATTTGTTTGGGAATTCTTGTGTAACTTACCAGCAATGCTTTAATTGATCAAGATTAATATATTAAGGCTTTACAAATCTATGATTTATCAGCTTCAGCCTTCAGCAGTGTATTTTTGGGCTTGAAAATAAAAATCCGTGTTATAATAAGACCTTAAGGTCTGATATTTCTAGAAGTCTTGCTAGACAATTCCATTAAATTTGCGCACTTTGAGAAAAACTTTCATTGGAAAGTCTCACCACCTTATGATGACATAGTGATATCATCCAATAAAATATTGTCATGTGTATCGATTGGAAGATAAGTTAAAACCCCAACTTTTTTTTGTTAAAGTTAGATTATTTCTTTCTTTCTTCCAACCTCTAAACAAATTATTCTTTTGCAGTTCTTCTATTTACTCTCAACTCACCATTCTCGATTACCTATCAATTTACTGTTATTCTTCAGTTTCTTGATCACCGTTCAGCTTCAATTAATTTGTCATTATCCAACAGCCATCAACCGGCCGACAGACATCATCAGTCATTCCCTTCGATTTTTCTATTATCAAGTAGTTTAACTTGTGTTCAGGAGGGAGACTTTTCATTTGTAGTTTAATAGCCAAAAAGCATATAGAAGCGTTTTCATATCTGAATGGCAAGCGCTTAGAACCGTGTGATTATTTTGCCATGCATCCTTTCAAAATCTTAAATATATCTCTGCAATGCTTCTCACAATGCTCAGGTTGAGCTTAGTGTGTGAGCAATACCATTAATTTAATAAACCAAAAGCGGAAGCCCAATAACAAACCGACAGCCATAGTAATCAAATTCTAAGTAATCTATTCATCGATGGAGAAGCTATAGACTTTCTTTTAGACAGACTAATGACCCTCTCTGTAATTTAGTTTACGTAAAAATAAAAATAAAAATAAAAAAATCACGCAGTCTATTTTTTCTTTTCCATCAAATAAAAAGAAGTTATATAAAAGGTGGTTACCACCAATAACTGATGGGAAGTTGCGAGGGATAATGGGCCACAAAATAAAACTGTAATGTAAATGGGAAGTTGTAAATAAACCGTAACTTACATGGTGATGATGAGTGGTGGCCGGCCTGACATTAATGACTCCCGTAAAAGAAAAATTATAGTTTTTTTAAATTTATATATTTGAGATAAAGAGACTTGGAAAATGAAATTAAATTAAAATACTTTATTAATACATGACAATATTTTATTGGGTGGTCTCACTACATAAATATAATAAGGTTGGAAGACTATCTCATGTAAGTTTTTTCAGTTTTTTGCGATCCATGTGTGTGTATATATACGGTTTGGTAAAGTTTATATAGTTATGGATAATCATTTTATAGATAATTAAGAACGAGATTATAGTTGAGCGTAAAATGGCTGATAATTTGATAATTGGATAATCGAATGAATGATTAAGGGGTTTACAAGATCATTGATCAATCAATGGGTAATCACATTCTTCATAAAATTTCTTCAAAATTATGTCTACAACATATTCATCTGCTAATAAATATTAATTTTAACCCTCAAAGATAACACCAAATATTCTAATTGCAAAGCTACATGCTCTGTTGCTGCAGAAACTTGAGCTCCTACAAAAATTCCAAAATCATGTCTGAGTTAGCTAGAGAAAGAAGTTCCAAGAAACCCTATACTTAATTAAGAAGAAATTAATAATCATACAGTAAAGAAGGAGAGTAACCCACACTAATTAATCTCGATCAAGATTTTTCTGTAGACATTTTGCAGATGGGTTTAATTAGTTGTGAATGAAGAGGTAGAAGATGATGAACAGAAGGAAGAAGATGTTGGAAACGGTCATGCTTAATCACCAAGAACTTGATGGCCGCAGTCTGCTTAAATACATTGTATATTTATAAATAGCGAAATCGATGGTACTTGTTCAGTTCAGTGTATGCTTGGCCGGCCAAAGTTGAGATGAAGATAAAATTAATGGCGGCATTTCCAATTTACGCCGACTGTGATACAACAAAACAGGTGAGATCTCTGCCATACAAATGTCATCGTCAAGCTGTGGAAGCAATTATATCCAAATTTTTAGTCTCTGTATATGCATGTCTCTAAGGTTGGTGAGTATTTGTATATACACATATGACAATTAATATATCTAAATGTCAGTTTTGTATATGGTTTTCGAATATCTATGGTTATTAATAAATAGTCATTAAAACATTTATATAACTAATAGTTTTAAAGTCTTGAATGATTAATTTAGATGTACGAAAATTGACTCAGATACTCTGATTTTAAAGAAAAAAAAACAGGAAAATAAGATAAAATGAGGTTCCTTTTCTAATGTTAACAAAATTAACTCTACCATTTAGATATACATTAGAATATTGAAAAACAATTTTCTACAATTTCTGTTACAAAAATTAAGTATTCACCTTAAGACCCACTTAAGCAGATGGTAACATTTTTCTGAGCTTAATTTACTTAATTAAAAGTTAGAAATAGAATTAAGAATTAATCCTAATTAAATAAAAATAATCTTTAACTAATTAAGCATTTGTAATTATTAAACTGAATATTTATGTAACACATAGGACTTATAATATATATGTAAGGTGGCGCAAAAATAAATAAATAAACATAAAGTTTATCACATTAGAAAAAATATTTTTACCATTAATAAACCCACCCGAAGGAACAATTAAGAAGGAAATCAAAAAAAAATATATATATATATATATATATAACGTTCAATACGTGTAAAATAAAATTTAATATTAATTGTAAAAAAAAAAAAATCCAACTTTGGGAGCAAAGTTCGAAAAAAGAAGAATCATGGTTATTGGTTGCCATGCGCGGTTAACCATAATTTGTGAGGTGTACCTGCGATTTCGAAAGCTTTTGCAGCTCAAAATGGGAGTCATGAGAACAATAATAATGGAAATTCATCATTTTTGTAAAGCCTTTCGGTGCCTCAACATCTCGCTGCTGGGTCATCCTTCGCCTCCAAGGTTCTTTTCAGTTTTCTATGAACATTTTCCTTTTCTTTTCTGCTTTTATTTATCTCTTTTTTAAGGATATGATTCTCTGTTTTAGTAGCTGCTGGTTGATTATTGTTGAAATTAGATAAGAAAATTACGTTTGATTTAGGCCATGTTGGTGAGAATTGATTTAGAAGTTTAGACATTTAGGTTTTTTTGTACAATTTTATTAGGCATGATAAAGAATGTAATTCAATTCATATTTTCATTTGGTAATTCTCAAATATGATGCGTATTGCTTTTGTATTGTTGCAGAATTTGGTGTTATAAATTTGCACAATATGATGTTTTATTTTGGTTCTAATGAATTAATTCCTTTGCTTGTGGATGGTCTAGTTGCTCAATCGCGTCATAAGTTGCTAAGATGGGTGCCGAGGCTGAGCCTTTCGCTGTTGATTTGAATAAGCCTCTTGTTTTCCAGGTCTGATCTCACTGTATTTATTCATATCTTTTTCCTTGTTATATGATACACATTGTTTAATCATTCCCATGATTCTTGTATATGCAAATTTATAGTTCATTTCCTAGATTTCTTCTTGCATTCAAGTTGAATTTTTAAATTGCCAGATTAGTTGAGAATTGTTTTTGGACACTTGATTCTTAAGTTAGGTCTGTGCCATAATTTTCTTCTTTTTTCCCCCCTTTTGGCAGGTTGGCCATCTTGGAGAAGCTTATGACGAATGGGTTCATAAACCTATAGTTAGCAAGGAAGGCCCACGATTCTTTGCTAATGACTTTCTTGAGGTGTTATTTCAATTCTTGTACTCAAAGTGTTCCATACAGCTAGGAAATTCTTATACATGAGTATCACTAAGAGAAAAATGCATATGAACAATGCCATAAATATTTTAAGCTTACTTTCGCATGTCAAAAATGGCATACTTTTTTCCACTTAGCCAATACGTTTGATCAAAATGTGGTCAATGGCAATAGTATGATTACTCTTCAACTCAACCTTATGGAAAATGATAAACTTTAGTATTTAATTGTGCCCCAAAAAGACGATGAATAATGTTAATAAAAGAGAGAAAGAGAGATCAGAAGTAAGCAATGTGACTCATGAACTAGATTTTAGGAATTTCATATTAAATGTCTAAGTCAATTTTGAGTTTTGTATGGTAACACAGTAATTATAAAGAAGTTTCAATAGCTGTATTATATCATCAAGGTACCTGGATGGTGTTATCACGTATGATTACTAAGCTCGATTTCCTTACTTCTTTTGCTAATGGCTTCTTTTTGAGAATTTATTTTTCCATTTTGCTATTGGATCTGTTTAAAATTTGAATAGGGATAATTTGTTGTTCTAGCCTAATTGATATCTGTTCAATTATATTAATGCTGATGATTTTTGATGATAACAGCATATTTAATGAGTAGTCCAACTCATGTCAGTCAATTGTCTGAATATATATAATGGTGAAAGGAATTCTTGAATTGATCTATTTTGAGGTCCATAAATTAGTTCCCTGATTCCCTCTTCAAACCTATCGCTGAAGAATCCTGTATCCTCATTTCCATTTATTAGTGGTTCTGAGTTAAATGATTCAGATATTGCCTTTTGCCAATAACTTCTCTTAATTTGTATATGAGTTGGCCTAAGCCTTTTTACTCCTGAACTTGAAACAGCTCTTGACTCGCACAAGATGGTGGGTAATTCCAATAGTTTGGCTACCGGTTGTATGTTGGTTTGTGTCCATCTCTCTCCGAATGGGCGTTGCTCCTCCTCAGGCAGCCGTCTCTGTAGTTGGTGGCGTCATCATTTGGACGTTGCTTGAGTACAGTTTGCACCGCTTTGTTTTCCATAAGAAGACAACAAGCTACTGGTCTGCTCTTTCCCTTCCTCTTTTGTGTGTTTGCACAAAGTAGCGTCACAGGCTAAAGCTGGTCAAATATTTGTGTAGGGGGAACACTTTGCATTATCTTATTCACGGCTGCCATCACAAGCACCCTATGGATGGACTACGACTCGTTTTCCCTCCTGCTGCGACTGCAATTCTATCTGTGCCAGTATGTTCAATTCTTTTTGCAGCTTAATGACTATTCCACACTGGTACTTAACTAAACAAAATAACACGATTGGAATTCTTTCTTTATTTCCTTTTCTCTCTAGGTGTTAAGTTGTCATTCCACCTAATTAAGCTTTTTGGTGGGATGACAACTTAACATGATATCATATCTAAAGGTCTAATGTTCCAAACCTATTGGACTAATATAAAGTTCAGCGCAAACCTACTAGCTTAAGCATCATAAGCTTTTAGGTCCTATTCAAGTTTCATGTGAAGGGGATCTATGGTCCTACCGAAGTTTCATGTGAGGGGTCTATAGACTAATATAATGTTGCGCCCTAACCTACTACTAACTTAAACTTTTTTGGTGAGATGACAATTTAACACCAGACATTTTCCCCATTGCTAACGATATTCTTCATCATCATATTGACTAATTTAATGTCGAGTCCAACCTAGTACTATTTTAAGTTTTTTGGTGGGATGACAACTTAACACCGAGCATTTTCCCCATTACTAATGATATCCTCCATCATCATATTTTGTGACTTCTAGGTGTGGACCTTGTTTAGGATTATATCACCTTCATCTCTAACTCCAGCTCTATTTGGAGGCAGCTTGTTGGGATATGTACTTTACGATTGCACTCATTATTACCTACACCATGGGAAACTGTCTAAAGGTTTTAGTAAGCATCTAAAGGTAACAACTCATTGAACTATATCTCTTTTCTTCCTTGCTTGAAAGAACCTATATTCCTATTAATATTTTCACAAATCGTTTATGTTTGTTTTTTACAGAAATATCACTTAAACCATCACTTTAGAATCCAGAACAAAGGATTTGGCATCACCTCCTCCTTATGGGATGATGTGTTTGGAACACTTCCTTCAGCAAAAGCTGCAAGTAAATAGCTGAAACTACTGGTAATTTATAAACAATTATCCAGCCGGTTATGGAAGTGTTAAAAGAGAATCTATCAATCAGGGATGAACCTGTCTTACATTACTTTCCTTTTTATTAACTAATGGTAAGTCTCAGGTTGAGGTTTTTTTTTTTTTACGTCAAAAAGGGTAATGTTGTTTTTAGGATTATTATCCCACATCTCCCCCGAGGTTTTAGTTTTACTCACTCACACTCCAAAGGTATAAAAAATCAGCCTTGAACTCCCTTCACAAGTTCACATCGGAAGAATTGTCTAATACCTCACTTCATCGACTTAATTGATAGATTTTTTTTACTGGTCTATTTTTTGACCCCCAATAAGATTGATTAATATCACACTCATCCACTTCATTTTAAAAGTATGAAAAATACTATTTTTTTTCCAATGATGTGCTATGGCTCCATTAGATGTTAAAATTGAAAGTCTATTTTACCCTTCGATCACTTACTAACTCAACAAATTTCTTAAATCCTTCACTCAATAAATATCCAAAACCACAAAATCAACCTTGGAGTTATAATTATATTTTTCCAGGGAAGGTTACACATTTATATAACACATATAAACAAACATTTAATTATAAATTAAAAAATTAATTATGGAAAAATTAATTCTTTTCCTTCCAAAATAATTAAAATAAATAATAAATTATGTGGAAGCTACTCTACCATTTTAAAGTTTTATAGAAACAATAATGTAGAAGGAATAAAAAAATAATTTTTTAAGTTGGTAAATGATGGAGAGATATAATAGACTTTTCATTTTGAAATTTAATGGAATCATAACATATCTCTAAGGATAGGGGTTTTTTTTATACTTTTAGAATAAAATGGATTAAATAAATAAATCATGGGGAAGAATTTTATTAGTTAAGGTCAATGAAGGGAGGTATTGGATAGTTCTCCAAATGTGGAGGCAGGTTAGGGCTAATTTTTCAAACCTTTGGGGCGTGAATGGCAGAAATTGAAACCTCAAGCGAAGTGTGGGATAGTAGCCTTTGTTTTTAATTAAGATAGTGAAAGGGAGAATGGTGCTGGAGATTATGTTTCAAAACCATTGGCTATATATGGGAATATCTATGTGTTTCGGATTGCAGTGAATCAACCGTTGAAAATTTAAGTCAGTAATTTAAATTAAAAGATATATATATAGGGTATAATATAATTTTATAAAAATTATGGGTTTTTTTTTAAATTAAGGGATGGGACCAATGTTGGCTTCGTTCCTACATAGTAATATAGCTAAAATAATATTATGTGCATTAACCAATTTGTACTAATCTAAATACTATTGAAAAATTTTATTTTTTATTTTTGAGGGAGTTGACGTGACGATAAAAGAGGTTATCATGTCAATTAATACTTGAGTTGTATGATTTTTTTTGTTAGTGCACCTAGAATTATTCATGTAGCTAAGGTATATGAAGCTTAAATAACCTCTTGACCACAATAAAAAAGGGTCATACCAGTTAACTCTCATAATTGAACTATCCAATCAATTCGGTTTTTGTAAACCAATAAATAATAGGCATTGAAAAATATCTTACATCACCATCATGTTAACTATTGATATATAATTGTAGACATTGGCACTGTACTTATTATTATCATTATTAATTTTAAGATAACAGTTAATTGTAAAATGGTAGTTTCCATCAGTTGTCTTCTAGGCAACTTTCCATCAAGTTTGTTATTTATAGTGTTTTTTTTTTTTTTTTTTTTTTAATACGAAAAATAAGGAAAACTAAGAACTTGAAAATTACAATATGGTACCTACCCATGAAAGTTAAGAGAAGGCCAGGCAGGCTGGCTAGAAAAGCAGTAGTAATTGAAGTCAATTAAGCTTCATGACTGAGTCACTCGGAGCTGTTTCACTTTTTTAATTCTTTGGAGTTTGGACAGCACTTTACGGAGCAGGAGGTGAATTGAAGGGAAAGGGAGGCAATGGAAATGTAAAAGGAAACGGTGGCAATGGCATGTTAAATGGGTTGGGAGGAAACGGAAACTGAGGCAGTGGCGGTGGAAATGGAAAGTTTGGCAACGGAGGCGGCAGTGGAAAGTTCGGCAATGGAGGTAAAAATGGGATGTTGTCAGGAAGAGGAAACGACGGCAAGTCTTTCATATCTTTAAGGTTCATCTTCTTCGCCTCCTGCTTCTTGTTGTTGCTGTTGTTATTCAAATTGAAGTTATTATTCACCATCTTTTCCGATTCATCTTCTTCTGCGACGTTTGATTTAAGTGGGCGAGAATATGCAAATTTAAATACCAAAATCAAGGTGAACAAGATGATGATGAGACTGAGGTGGTGAGGTTGAGAAGCCATGGCTGCAGTTTATTTTTGAAGAAGAGAATTCTCTCTTGGGAGTTTATATAGAGATCGAGAGAGAGAAACACCGAATGGTTGCATTGAATGAAGAAGAAAAATCTCATCTCTGGTGGAAACTGGAAAGTTCTTGAATCTTGATGGTCGTGCCATTGAAAGAGCAAAAATTGTAGGGTCTATTCAGATTACTAAATGCAAAGCAGGTAATATTTAGGAGAATCGAAATGAGTGCCGTTTTCAGCAGCATGCAAAACTTCATATTTATTTCCTTGTAAATTCTCTTTTTTTTTTTCTTTTTTTTTTTTAGGAAAATAATAATATGAGAAAAATTAAGGTTCCATTTGAATAGAGTTAATAGAAGAAGAGTTTAATGGAGTAGAGCTTATGAAAATATGGTTTATATGAGAAAGTGGTTAGTAGTTTAGTTAGAAAAATATAAGAGTTTTCTAGTATTAATTTACCAAAAAGATTTTTGTTATACAAAAACAATTGAAGTCAAATTTATTAAATGTAATAAAGATACTTTCAAATTTCCACGCTTTAAATAAGCTCATGAAGAGTTTATGGAAGAAATTCAAATTTTGAACTTCTCCTATAAATCATAAAATAACTTATTTCAAAACATATAAATGCTTTTGAAATGCAATCAAATAACATAAAATTTTTTTAAGAGTGTTTACATCTTAAAATAAGCTCTTTTGGCTAATATTAATAAAATCAGTCAACAAATCAAAACAAAATTGTATTACACAAAAGATTAACAACAATTATCCTTCCTAGGTATAATTAAATAACAAAAATCTATTATCAATTCTAATGTAACATTAATGATTCACCAACGACAGAAAAAATTATGTTATTACTGAAACGGAAGGATATTTTATTAAACCTTAGAGGCGTTGAGATGATGAACCCATATATACAAATATTGCAGAGGCATATTCTTATTCAACTTACAAAAAGCAATGACTGTGCGGTTCATATATATCAGTTTCATTTTCGAATTAAAATAAGAATTACAGTTTTTGTCCGAATAATAGAACAGAAATCCAAGTGTAAAGAAAACATGACAGATGTAATGTGTGGATGCTGAAAGGATTTTAGAGACAATAGTGAAACCACAGCAATTGCTTATGGCGTAGGATTCTTCATTATATAGAAAACTATTAAAAGTTAATAATAGTAGTACAAGCTATATAAGGAAAGATATCTACATATTCTATATTTACGACTAATCAACTCCTACATATTTGTACAACGCCTGTATTACCGTGTATTGCTCCTTAAGGCTTGGATTGATTTTCTGTTTGATTGCTGCCTTGATTGTCTCCAGAGAATAATGCTCTGTTATCGCCAACACCCCCCCTCAAATCAAGCGTGGTTGGCAACACAAGAAGCTTGGATCAGAATAGCAGAAACAAAGGTTTTGATGGACTTTTGGTGAATATGTCTGCTATTTGCAAGGTTGATGGAACATGTTTAGTCTTCAATATACCACTGCAGACTAGTTCCCTAACAAAGTGAATATCAATATCAATATGCCTGGACCTTCATTGAGCTACTGGATTTCGAGTCATGAAAATGGCACTTGTGTTGTCACAGAGTAACAACACGGTTCTGTTGGTTGAATTTTTAAATCTTGAAGAATGTTTAACAACCATTTAACTTTAGCTGCAACGAGTGCCAATGCTCTATATTCGGATTCTGCTGAAGACTGAGATATTGTGGACTACTTTTTAGAAGTCCATGAGATTAAAATGTCACCCAAAAAAATTGCATATCCTGATGTTGATCAACTTGTGTCTGGGCAACCAACCCAATCGGCATCTGAAAAAGCTGAAATTTTGAGATTGCTTGATGGATTGATGTTGAGTCCGAAATGAAGAGTTCCTTTAACATATCTGAGAATTCTTTTTACTACTTGAAAATGTTGCTCTCTTGGTGCATGCATGAATTGACTTACTAAATTTACTGCATGTGTAATATCCGGGCTGGTAATGGTGAGATATTGCAGTTCACCAACAAGGGATCGATAAGTTGAAAGAGAGGACCATCAGTAGTTAAATGATTTGAGACAATCATTGGTGTTGCAATTGGCTTTGAATCATGGAGATTAGATCGGATAAGGATATCCCTCGCGTACTTCACTTGACTGAGGAAAATTTCCTTTTGAGAATGAGTAACTTCTAGGCCCAAAAAATAATTGAGATTGCCAAGATCCTTCATAGAAAACTCTTGTCGTAGCTTGTTAATGAAAGTGTCAAGGAGAGACACATTGCGGCCTGTGATGATAATATCATCCACGTATAAGAGTAAATAAATGATGCCATTGTCCGATGAATGAACAAATAAACTGGAATCAGCTTTGCTGCAATTGAAACCAATTTTGATTAAAAAATTGCTAAAGCGATGGAACCATGCTCTCGGTGCTTGTTTCAAACCATAGATTTCCTTTTTGAGGCAACAAACATGATTTGGATGAGAAGCATCAATATATCCCGATGGTTGTTCCATATAAACCTCTTCTTGTAGGAGATCATGCAAGAAGGCATTTTTAACGTCAAGTTGACGTATGTTCAAGCCACGAGAGGCTGCAATAGAGATTACAATGCGAACTGTAGAGGCTCTAACAACGAGACTAAATGTGTCATTAAAATCAACTCCACAGAGTTGAGTATAGCCTTTGGCAACAAGGCGTGCTTTGAGCCTATCAATAGAGCCATCCGAATGATATTTGATCCAAAAAACCCATTTGGATCCAACCACATTAGTAGCAAGTGGTCTAGGAACTAGTTCCCATGTTTGATTGTGAGTCAAAGCTCGAATTTCATCCTCCATTGCAGCTAGCCATTCGGGTGATTTGGCGGCACTCTTGAATCCTTTTGGTTCCTTCATTACTAATAATGATGATAATAAAGGAGAGGAAGGAACTTGACAAATATAGTTGTAATGTTTGGACTTTGAGATACCAGCTTTTCCAAGTGTTAACATGGGATGAGAATTCTGATTTGTTGTAGAATTTTGAGCTGGTGCAATCGGCATATCTGAAGCTGCAATTGGCCCGATTGTTGAAGTAGGCACAAGAGGCAGTTCTGGAACTTGCTCAACTATTGGAGTAGGCACATGAGGCAGTGATATTGGTGAACTTCGAGATGTGTTCAACTCCAAGGCACATGATTTACATGGATTGGATGGAGTGACTGATGGTAATGGCCAAGAACCTACAAAAGAATTAGTGCTAG